TTTTTTTTTTTTTTTTTTTTTTTTTTTTTTTTTTTTTTTTTTTTTTTTTTTGTCTTCATATGCACGATTTTGAGTTGGGCATTTCTTTGACATGATTTAAACCTTTTTATGATTTATAGTTTAGCTCATAAGAAATTCCTAGATTTAGTTTTGAGGAGGTATTCATGCTGACACTTATTCAAGTTTAAGGTTCAAAGGGATGAAGGTTAAAATGGACTCACCCACCCAAGGTTACAAGTAAAAATTGATCTTTTCACTTAAAAGAATTGTAGTTGGAATTTAAAAGGCCGAGATATAGGTATAGGAAATTCATCTAACACTTTAAAGATAACAGATAAAACAAAAAATCCACAAGTACACAATTTGTTTGATAAGAACAAGAGAGAAAATACTTGAAAGGAAGGTTCGTTGTGGTAAAACTTTAAAAAATGTTTGGACTGATAAGGATTATAGGTACAGACGTGGAGGTCGGATAGGAACCTTGTTTAGTAATATAACGAAGGCCGTATAAAATTTTATAAATAGAGTGCTTGCGTATTTAGTAGTTATTATTTTTTGCAGTAGTATTAGCAGTACTTTCTTTGCATGAAGGAATCTTAAAAGACTGTCAACAGTTGCAAAACAATATGCATACCTCAAATGCCCCACTCAGACTCCACTTTAATTGATTTGTTTGCAGCCTTGGAATGACAACAGATATAACGGGCATCGTTGGCCTGTACTTCGCAATTAATCTGCACATTAAGACAACTTGTTTAAAGCTCCAAAAGTTTGTGGTATTAGTTCAAAATTAGATAGCAAATAACATGACTAATGAATTCAACAATATCAGATATACAATAATCTGTCCATGAACAAACCTTGCAGCCCTTCCAGTTGAAGTAAAGCATATAATCACGGAAGCCTTCACTTTAATGGCTGCCCTAACCTAAATAAAAAAGGGGTCAAACGATCAATTAAGAAACTCAATTTCAGAATATAACAGAAATTGAACCAAAAAAAGAGAAAATATAACAGAAAATTGGAATGATATATGTTTCTCAAAAATTAAAGCTGGAATAGGAAGTAATACAGCTGAGGAGGCAATAGATTCTAAGTGTGACATTGGCTCCCCGGTATGCTTGACTGCCTTCTTGAAATAAAAGTCTTGATTGAAAACCTTCTCTGCCTGCATTTAACAAAAACAAAGAAAAATGAATTAGAGTTTATGCACTAGGCTCCAATTTCACATCCATTCATTTTAACTGCAAGCTATCACCAATTGATCACCCAATATCTGATGGCTGAGAGCAATTAAAATGAAATTAGAAGCTAAGATCCATATCAGAAACAGGCTTGTCAGATGAATCAAACTAAAAATAATAATGTTCTTATTCTTTCATTTTCAGTTCAGACAAAAAAGTTGTTTTGGGAAACGCTTTTTCAAGGGCTGAGAATGAAGTAGCTATTTAGAGTCCAGCCATAGATCCGCTGGAAAGGCAAAGATAAGCCAAACAGTGAAAAAGTTCACGATGTAAGGTACTCTAGCTTCAGCTTTTTTTGTTCCCACCTGACCTGGGAGTATGTGAATGGTTGATCAGTCGGCTGGGAAAGTGGCCTGTATTGAAGCTGTTCTTTTGGAAATTAATTTGTGGCTTTTAAGTAGTGCTTGCTTGGATTCATTCTCCTCTAAACTTCAGGGCTGAATAGTTTTTATGGTTTTTATTTTATCCTTTGGGTTGAATGTTGAGTTTTTCTGTAGTTATTCAACTCACGAGCCCCTTAGGTCACAGGGGTTTATATTTTTTCCCCCCTCACCTTGTACTTAACATAGTATCAAAGAGAAGTTTTAGTTCGTTTTCCTTTCGGTTTTCTTTTCGGTTATAGGAGACTTGCCAAAAAGAATTAACGGAGTTGCAAGAGAATGCAGTCCTAAATGGTAATTTTAATGGAAGTATGCATCATTATTTAGTATCATGCTTGTCTTTGGGCATAAATAGCCTCCATTTTTAGAGATATTCGTATTCCTCTATTTTACTCATAATTTTGTCCTTTGTAGGGAAGGCTTTGTGTTTTTTTCATGCATGGTTGTTCCATTTCCTTTTATGGGCCCTTCTACTCCTTTTAATGCACTTGTGACCTCACATTAAATGTTCATTCATCTACCAGATGAAAGTTATCTTTCATTAATTCATAAAAAAATGAAAATACCTATACTGCATAAAGCTTAGATTCAAAAACTCCGTTTCTTTCTCATACACACAAAAAGATTACCTCAGCGCATATTCTACGAACAGTTGAAATGGTTTCTACTGGATAAAATCCACGCAATGTCTCAGCCCCAAGAAGAATTGCATCACTTCCTACACACATTAGAATAAAGGTTCTGAGACATATTATACTAACGATTTTACCCTGGTCAGGAAAAAAAATAGGAACCATGAGATAAATAAAATAATACAATTGGACGTGAAATATATCCCAATTTCAAAGATGCAAACCACATCTTCAGCATTTGTGATTATGGATATCTGTGGCTTTAAAAAGTGCAGACAAATTTCAGAAAACCATGACTTAAAAAGTCCCCCATATCTTCAGTCTTTAAGCAACAGAAATTTATATAACTATTGAATGACGGACCATCAAGTACAGCATTGGCAACATCAGTAGCTTCTGCACGTGTAGGTCTCAAGTTGCTAGTCATGCTGTCTACCACACGAGTCAAAACAGCGGGCTTTCCAGCCATATTACATCTATGAAGGGCAGTTTTCTGAAACAAGAATACCTGAACAAAAAAATGTCAATCAGTGCAAAAAACCAAAGAAAAAAAAAGAAACAAAAAGCCCATGAGGAAGTTCGGACCCAGCCGCTTAGCGGGGGGGCTGGACATTGGTACTATCAAGGCCAAAAGCATTTTCTGTAAAAACAAAAATGTGAACTGAATTATACTAATACAGAAACGTTTTAAAGTTGAGGGGGGATTAGTCCAAATGTAGATCTGCATCTGAGCAAGAGGTTTAGGTCATGCATGGAGGAGGTGGATCTATGGGTGCCATTCTAGTGCCATTATTTTCATTTTTCTAAATGAGAAGCCTAGAGGAAATCCTTCTATATAGTGCCCTTTCCATCTCCAGATGAAAAGGAAATCCTCTAGTGCAACCTACTCGGTAGAGCATCTTGTTACGTGCGCACTAACAGAGAAACCGGCAGAGAGGAAAGCCAAAATCAAGAAAACTAAACCTAAAATTATGCCATCCTTGGAAGAAGTTTGCAAAAGTTATTTGGCTCAATGCTCTTAAATCCCTTTAGAAGAATGTGAGGATTATAAGGTTATTTTAAGGGGTAGAAACCTCTTTTTTGGATCACTGCTGATTGGCTTTCTTGCGACCATGAAGTGTCCTCCAAGTATACCAATTGGGGCGGTTATTTTATAACCCCTCTTCTTAGTTCTTACAAAGAAAAGAAGGATACTAATGTAATGTTTCTTAATACACCTCCCCCAATAGAGGAGGAGAGGGAGAGAGACTACCACTGCCTACTCTATGGAAAACAAAGATAAGTACGAGAATAGCCAATATTCTTTTCATTACAACACCGTTCAAACAAAACTATCCCTTAGTTAATTAGCATGCATAGAAACTAACCTTCTCAGGAGGAAGATCTAACCCCAAATTGCCACGAGCAAGGATAATACCATCTGCTTCTTGTAGAATCTCATCAAAATGGGTTAATCCCTAAGGAAGGGAAAACAAAAGTATGCATGCATCTAAATTAGTACCATTGTACGTTGATATATTAAGAAAACAGTCTTACTACCAAAGAATATGAGTGAAAAGTGAGCTAACAACGACCGACCTCAACGCTTTCAATCTTCGCAAAGATTTGAGTTTGGCTAAGGTTGCCTAGCTTAGAAAGAAATTGTCGAGCCTGCATAAAAATATATTTTAGCATTCTATTATCCTCTATCGTAATAATCAACATAACCGAATCTCTCATGGTCAATTATTTGTTTAAATTGAAGACTCAAGCAAGGAAATAATACTTGGCGAACATCCTCCGCTTGTCTAGCATGTGAGAGAGAGAGGAAGTCAATCTTGTTTTTTACTCCCCACGTAGCTATAATCTAAAATCACCAAATAACCAATAAAACAATTATCAGCAAAAAATGATATGGTTACCGAAGCTAATTGGAAGCAATCAGTCTTAAGGGACATAACAAACAGGAAATCAAAGAACCAACCTCCTTATCTTTGTCAGTAAGTGTTGGAAGATCAATGCGAATTTCAGCTGCATGCAAAGTGTACATTGTTCCAACCAACTTGGCAGAGTTCTTTACCAAGCAAAGAACATCATCTCCTTTCACTTCGGAGACCTGATAAATCCCAAACAGACGTACTTCAGTATAACATCTTTTACCATGATTTCATACTACTTTGAAATATAGTTAAATTGGGCGTAGATCATTTGAACATTTACTTAAAATTTCTCTATCAAAAAATAAGTAAATTATACGTCACAGCATTCAATATACCTATCATCCACGCCCAAAATATACAAACAAAAGAAAACAAGCAGAGAAGAAATTATTGATGATCCCAAACAATATGCTCTGTTACCTCCAGCCAGACAGAAGTTGTTTCACTTCCAGTGAAGAGGTACTGACCAAGAAAAAGGGTGTCTCCTTTCTTAACGACCTACAAGACAATATCAAGCTTAGAATTATGATAACCAATGCAGTGTCGGAAAAACACTTAACATTTTATAAAGCTTGACTTTGCAAATATATGTTTGAATAAATTCGAGGATATTAAAAGCACAGCCTCTTATCAATGGTTAATGAAAAACTCATATTTGTCTGTCAGATGTTCCAAAAATTATATATTTGTCTCCATAAGATGCAATCAACAATCTGGATCTTGAGCATCAATAAATGAACAATCAGTAGTATTTCCCGACCTTTGAAAGTCCATCATAACTTATAGGCAGCAGCTCCGAAGACGCCTCTATTTCTTGATTGGGTGTCAAAACAACCAACTCATCTTCCTTAAGAGAGATAGATTTCTCATTTCTGTTTACAACCAGGATCTCAGGACCCACTGTATCCAGCATAACCTGAAAAAAGCAGAAGAATTCTCATTGCCTCTTTCAGAATACTTGCAGATAGAAATTTGAGAACAATATCTTACATATTCTTTGGCCACATTGTCTCACGCATTAAAGAATATTGATTTGCCTAAGTTACTCTCATGAATGGGAAAGTTCAAATGAAAAAATATACACCCAAACAAGTGAAGAACAAGTTAAACACGAACATACAGCGCAAAGTTTGTTGGTGTTCTTAACAGCCGCCTTCAAATTGTCCAAAGTTTCTTGATGGTAATCAGGACTGCCCCATGAAAAGTCGAACCGAGCAACTGCCACAACATGAAAAAAAAAAAATAATGATCAATAAAAGTTGAACAAGCTCAGGATCAATTTAAACCAACAATGAGGAAATATATCGCACAAAAACGCATTATCCGCAAGAAAAAAGAAAGTCGCTAACGAAGCCAGCCATACCAGACATTCCAGCCCTTAGACAGGCAGAAATAACTTCGACAGATCGGGACTTAGGGCCCAAAGTACCAACAATCTTCGTCATTGTCGGCAAGACGCTCTGGAAGACAATAAACAACAACACAAAAAAGAAATCAGTTGATTAAACTCGAAACAAAAGATCAACGCACATCAAACGCACACAATGCAAATCAAAGAAAATCCACGACAGAAATAGTAACAATGTAACTTCTAATTCAAAGATCGAAGTGAAATCAAGGAACTAAGTGCTCAAATCTGGAAACAGTAACAGAACTAGACGAAAAAACACTGAAAGAAAACAAGACTTACATCCTTTGAAGGCTCCAAAATGGAAGCCATCCTAATCGGCTCCTCAAGAAGCAAGTGATTCGAAGGCATTTCGTTAAACTGTAAGTACCACTTCCTCCGCGAACAATTTCAGAGAGTAGATGAATGTAGATTCAGAAGGATGGTTAATATATTCCTTGGAAATCAAGCTACTTTTCGTTCTCTGACCTGGATATGCAGTAAGAGCAAAACCAGGTTCTGCAGCGGGAGAATCAAAACCAGAGGAAGAACATTCCAGTCTTCAAATTCCCGAAACTGGCGAGATTTTTGTCAATGCATGCACTTGAAATGACGATTTACCGACGATTATGCTTTATTTCATAAAACACAAAGGTCCCACCTAACTTCTCTTGTTTTTTTTCTCTATAAAGTCCCACAACAAATTTTTCAGCTCACAAAAATGAAATAAAAATAATATTATTTTATTAGATTCTATTTTATTTTTTAAAACCTTTTCAATAATTATATAACAAATAAAAACTTTTTTCTTTTTTTCTTTTTTCAAGAGGACGTAAAGTACCAATTTAATAATTTAAAGCGTGTTTAGAAAGAAAAAAAAGTTTAATAATAAAAAGCTATTAGCAAAAAAAATATTATTTTTTTATATAGAAATAGAGTATTAAGAACAAATTTTTTTTAAAAAAAAGGTCAAGTATAAGAATAAAAATAATTATAGAAATGGTTAAAATAAATTAAAATTGGGGAACCCATTGGTTTTTAATAACTATTGGAGCCCATTGTTTTTGGTTGCAAAAAAAACAGATTAAAAAAAAGGAAGGTAATGTAAATCACTTTTGTTTTCTTTAATAAATAGTTTTTTTGAAACTTGAAATTTTAATTTTGCTGAATTTGTTGGTGAATAAAAAATACCCACTTAATTCATAAATAATAATATTAAAATCTATTAGTGTGTTTTTCAAGGAATAATAGAAAAAACATAAAATGAAATTAGGGATTGATATTTTCAGTGAACAAATTTATTGATTTGTTAATTAGAATGGTTCAAAACTTTATATTTTCATTTAAAATATTTATACTGGTAAATAGTAATTGGGACGTATATAGATATATATATATTAATTGTAATTATTATTGGAATTTACGATTTAAAAAATTAAGACATTATAATTCTAAAAAAACAAAAATGTGTCACTTTCATTGGTGTAAGACGAAACGCATGCAGGAGGAAGACAAAAGACGAGATTGAGCGGGAAGAGGACGTGATCACGTGACACACGTGACACTGCCTTCATCCATCCGTACAGTACGCTGCGTTTTGGACTGCGACAAAAACTGTGATGGAACGAACACCACATTTTGGTCGGTGCGGTATAAATAAATAAAATTCTAACCCTTTTTTTGTGAATTTTAAAAAAATAATAAATGTTTAATTTAATTTTTTTCATATATTTTTTTGGTCTGTATTATTATTCATGTCATTGAATTAGTAAATAAATTGAAAAAAAACTAGAATAAAAATTCTTGGGAGTTTAATTTATTAAATTAACTGGAAACAAATCAGAAAAAGCCCCCCCCTCCAACAACAGCAAATAGGAATACGATCAAAAACTAGAAATATCACAACAGCTCCTCTGCTCTGCTGCTGCTACAAATGGCAGTAGCAAATAGAAATAAAACTAAGCGAATTAGGGTTTTTACCATGAACTCACCATGGCTTCTAATCGGGAAAGTAAAAAAATAGGTGTTTTGTGAGTGTCGTTTTACACTTTTTCCACTTTTATCATATCTCCTCCATCAATCTCCAAAAACCATGTATTGTAATACCTCATGGTGGTGACAGCACCAGAATTACGGTCAATCAAAATTTTTATCTGGAAAGGCAAGGCTATTTCGTTCGTTTGATCGTTTGTTCGTTCAATCTTCAAGCTCGATGATCTTCACCACAGATGCATCCCCGACCTTCTGGCACACGACAACTCGGTCGTGTGGCTTGATTACTCCATATGCTTTGCCATGATCCAGAGCAACCTTCAGAACTGACTCGTTTGTTGCGCTAGTCGACTCCGCCTACAAATTACCATTTTAATACAAATGGCACCACGTTATCATATGTATGATTTGATGTAGTTCAAATGTTTTTTTTTTAAAAAAAAAATCTGAAGAACATGATACTATTTGACTTTTTTGGCTTCCAGTGCATACTGATGTACCAGAGAACATAATGACTATTGTGCCTTTTAACTTTCAATGAAGACTGACGTGCTAGAACTCTACTAATATGCACATACACATGGGCAAATTTCCCTTTTCCCGTGTGTGCGTCTATTTGATAATTTATTATGCAAGTTCATAACAGACTAAATACGAGGTTGGTAATAACTATTTAGGAGGGTTACAGCAGATCATAGAAATGAATTCCAACTTCTAAAACTAAAGGGACCAAAATTCTAAACTTTTTGAATATCATAGGAGCCAAATTTTTATCGAAAAAAACAAAGCAGGTGTGGATATGATATAGACCAACAAACAAACCCTTATGAATAATTTGGAAGTCCCCAGTAAAAGGATCACTAATGAGATTAGCGGATTCTGATATAATTCACTCTTCATCAACAAATCAAAGCAAAATGGAAAATGAAGCTTACAGGATGTCGTGGATCAGCAAGCATGGGGAAGAGGCCTCTTACTATCAATGACTGCCTAGCCTGAAACAGATCAAGACAAAATAATACCTTGTCAAAGACAGAAACTACCAGCATTTAGTTTGAACACGAAGTGCATACGGTGAAGGATGATATTTAATCTGACTAATCTGACAGCAGCATTTAGTATTTATCTAAACAAATACCAACTTCTTATTGAAGATTAATACTCACCTCTAAAACAGAGAATTATATAATCACCTCATACACAAACTTCGCTAATGAATTTCAGATAGTACACAATTTAAATGCATTGTCAACAAGTTCAATATCATAACTACTAATTCCTTTTCGGCAATCTGATTAATTATTTTTCTTCTTTCGAAAAAGCATTGTACAATCACTAGTAGCTAGAATTGAGGCAAAATGCATAAAAGGACTCCCTTTACTAAATCACCCACCCCATGTGTAGAAATTTTCTATTTGTTAAAATATTCGTGTACGAAGCTCTCAATGAGACAAACAATACAGAAAATTGCCCAACATGTTATAAGAAAATACCTCAAATGCACCACTAAAGCTCCACCTCAACTGATTTGTCTTCAGCCTAGGAATGACTACAGATATAACTGGCATCGTGGGCCTATATTTAGCAATTAATCTGTGCATATTCATACAGCAAGTTTAGACTTCTATGAAATAAATAGCAGCAAATTTTTTAAGAGAATTTCAGCTTGTTTGAAGACCAAAACTGGAGTCCGAACCCCAATACCTTGCAGCTCTTCCAGATGAAGTGAAGCAAATAATAACTGAAGCCTTCACCTTAATGGCAGCCCTAACCTAAAAACAGAATAAACCTATTGCACATGAAACCCACGGTAGAACTACAACAATTATAAAAATGATTGCTACTAAAACAATTGAAAATAAAAAAAGACAGTAACCAGAATAATGAGCCAGTACCGCTGAGGAAGCAATGGACTCCAAGTGCGTCATAGGTTCACCAACAAATTTGACAGTCTTCTTGAAATACAAATCTTGATTGAACACCTTCTCGGACTGCATTTTTTAAGGAAACAAGGACACCCAGGGGGTATAAATATAAACACTTAAAAAGAAAAAGGAATCAACATTATAGACGGTGATAAATCCACACAGCCGTCAAGTTTATAACGACTCTTTATAAGCTTATAATGCCATAGAACATTAGGTCTAGCAGACAAAGGTCAAATGTGACATGCATCTCTCTTCTAAACAGTTAAAATAATGACTGAATCGTAGGGAATATACATCAAGAAGAGGAAATACTAAAGCTGAAAAGAACAAATACTATGAGTATCAAGATCTACAGCTAGAATAGGATGGTTACAAATCTCATGATTGCAAATATGCTCACCAGTCCTAAGTTAGAAGATTGAGGCAAACAAGTCCTATTTCTTCTTAACTAGGAAAACAAATCATTCTATAACCAACTTTGGTCATTGGAACATGGGATATAATCGACACCACAAAAAATAAAAAATTTAACGACGTGAAAGTTGAGAAAATAACAAAAATCCTTGATAGAACCAGATCTCAACGAAGCCAACATGTAACTAATAACAGAGAGTATTTGTATATCTAGAGAGAGAGAGAGATGAACAGAGAGCATTTACCTCGGCACAAATCCTACCAACAGTTGAAATCGTCTCTACGGGATACTGTCCACGCAAAGTCTCAGCACCCAGAAGAATTGCATCACTTCCTGCATCCATGAGAATAGTTTAACCAAAGCAAATGTGAATTGTAAAATGACCGAGTTAAATGGAAAAGTCATGGTACATCCATAACTTAAGCTGTTAACCAACAATTTCAGAAAAGGCTATATGTATCATCCGTCTTTAACACAATATACTTTCTCATTATTATTGCAAAACTTACCATCAAGGACAGCATTTGCAACATCAGTAGCTTCTGCACGAGTAGGCCTTAAATTGTTGGTCATACTGTCCACGACACGAGTAACCACAGCAGGCTTTCCAGCCATGTTACACTTGTAAAGGGCAGCCTTTTGAAATAAAAACACCTACAATATACGGAGAAGTGATCAGAAAAAAGCCTACCTTGAGCTTTAGATCCTTACCATCACAACAAGAAGAAAACTATAATTGAACCAAGACCATTAATGAGGGGAATATTATAATACATTCAACCACATGAATTTGGAGTTTCAAAGACCACCATGGCTTAATGGCAATGGCTTCCTTCCTCGTCCTATCAAACTTGTGTAGGCACTAATTTTCCATTGGACATGACAGTTGACATTTTTCTAACTAGTTTGATAGAGTTAAATTTAAGACCCGGTGAAAAATCAAAGGGAAAATCATATAATTAGATTGTGAATAAAATAATAGAATTTTCCAACAGATATCAGTACAGCATCATTTCCCAGCTGTCCTCTCATGTACGAGAAGTAAACAGTTTCAATTCTCTTCCCATTCAAACAAGTATCAAGTCTCAAACACAAGCATCACAGCTCAAAAATGCAAGCAGAATGAAAACATCCAGAAAAGAATAGATACAAGTAATTGGTGGAAATTAACTTGACATTGCAGCAAGACTAAATTTAGAGATTGTACTCAAGGAAACTAACCTTCTCGGGTGGGAGATCTATACCCAAATTCCCACGGGAAAGAATAATACCATCTGCTTCGTGTAGA